CGCGCACGACGGCGTCCTGTGCGTGTGCCAGGACGGCGCCTGGCAAGCCTACAACGGCGCGATTGCGGAATCTGTTCTTGCCAGGTGCAGATCGTATTTAATTTACTTGGAAGGCATCTTTCTCTTATTGGAGAAATGGCCTAGAGCCGCGTCTGACGAGGTTTTCCTGCAGCGACTTCATCAGCTCTGGCAGCGCTCCGGGCTTGAATCGGGCAAGTTCCTTTCGGCATGCCGGGCGCGAGTGGCGCTCGGGCCCGCCGCCAGCGTCGCGGATGCAGAATCGGCCGATGGGGCCGCGCCGGGCGCCGACGACCCCGGCGGCGGCGCGGCGGAGCCCGCGCCCGCGGCCGCGGACGCCGGCGATCTCGACGCCGACGCAGGCGGGCTCGAGCCGGCGGCCGCGGGCGCTGGCGGCCCCGACGGTGGCGACGGCGAGCCCGCGCCCGCAATCGCGCCACCGCCAGGTGCGCCCCGCCAGCCGCAAGGCGTCTTCGTGGCCAGGGCCGTGCAGAAGATGTCGGCGGCCCTCCAGCAGGAGTTATTGGCGAGGAAGTTGATCACTTCCTATTCAGAATGGTGTAATTCGCCGCGGCTTGCTCGCGCTGGCGTGGCCTTCCAGGACTCGTGCTGCCTCTTTGCAGAAAATGGGTCCCTCGAGTTTGTCGACAAGGCGCCGGGGAACAACGTCTACGTGTACATCCCACATAACCTGAAAGACCCAGTGCTTCAGTCAGCCGAAACTCGACTGCATAAATTCCTCTCGCAGACGTTCTGGGGAAACAGTTTGGCATTGGAATGTCAACTGGCGGCGATGGCTTTGACGTTGCAAGGGTGTGACATTGACAGATGTTTCTGGACAGTGGGGCCGGTCGGAGTCGGCCAGTCCATTCTCACGCATCTGATCCACAACGTATTCCGCGGGCTTCACGCTTTTTTGGACACCAGCATTTACTTTTCTGATGATGAGCTCCGGAAGCAGGCTGATGGGTTGATCGGCGAGCTGATCACGACCGCGCAGGAGGCGGTGGACAACTCAAGGCACGGCTGCAGGGAGGACTTGTTCAAGAAGCGCATGTCCGCTGGCCCCATCGCGGCGCGTTTGCCTTATGGCATCGTGATGCGCCTCATAGAATTGTCGGGGTGGAAACGCCTGGAGTTGAACAGGCTCGTTCAGTTTACTACCGTATCTGAATCCAGTCTGGGCAGCATTCTACGCCGAAGCTGGGTCATCGGGCTGCGTGTGAAACCTTTGTTTGCCCCATCGCATTCTGGGTGAATGAGGAGAAGCCTCGCAAATTTACTCGTCTTAATAGGGAAGTATTCGGTTCGTGGTCGTCAGTTGTTTTCCCCCCCATAAGTAAATCGGGGTTTGTTAGATTTGCTATCGCAAAAACCTTACGCAGCCAGCCCTGTGGCCGCGCGCCCGAGAGCCTAGCGATTTCCCGCCGCGATAGTATGTGTCAGGAGTGCATGCTAATAGTTGTGACAGAGTACCACCAACAGGTTTCATCAGTTTTCTTATCCTAAACACATGTATAACGTGCGCCAGTGGCATCATCATGAACATGTAATCATAACGGGCATCAGTAACGTGAATCACTGACATGCATCGATACCATGAGCTATGAAGACATGTACTTATGTATTGGAGTTCCGTGGTGGGGATCGCTCGGAGCATTACTATGGTTGCCGCTGAGGGGGCGTGTTTGCCGGCGATGCGGGGGCATTGAGATATCCCATATGTTTCGAATATGTGCATTCCCCCACCGCCCCAGGTGTGCAAGATCCTGTCCAAGTTCAAGACCGAGGCGGAAGTCAATGCCATCCCAGATGCAGCCAGCAGGGGAATCTTCGTCAAAGATCCAAGCTTACGCGCGTTCGTCAAGAGTCAGGTTGTGGTACCAGCTTTCTGGGAGTTGCTGCGGGGCTTCATGGAGTCGCACTCGCGGGCGGGTTCAGAGGATATCATAGAGCAGTACGCCACGGGCGGCGACGGCGGACTGACAAGGGATTGCGTGCAACCAGCGACTGGGTTGTCAGCGGAAAAGGCAGCCGCCGCAGCTGCCGCGGAATTCGACCCCGTCCAAGCGGCGACGGCTGCTGATCGGGCGCTTTCATTTCGAGTGGCAGGGGCTGCTCTGGACCGGAACCACGAGCGCGTCTCCGAGCACGACTTTGTGCATAAGCTTGGTTCTGATGTATTGGGCGGTTCTGCCGAGACCCGGGGGGCCGCATTCTTGCGTCTCGTTGAGCGCGGCCATTTGGTCTTCGAGAGGAAAAATCATCGCGGATATCAAGAGTACGTGCCGCTTCTCCAGGTCAGCGGAACCACGGCTGATCTCGGTGCCACTGATCGCGACCTTACTGGACCAGCGTTGGTGGAGACGTTTCGCTGCAAGGAACTCACCGAGTACGTCCGCAGCGATGCTCGCACCCACAACGTGGAGACGTTAATCAGATACCTCGGTGGAGAGGGGGCAGAGAGGAAGAAGAAGCGAGGCAGGACCGGGAAGAAAGCTGCAGACGACGTAGAGAAACGCTCCCGCATGCTGGAGTCTCTGCGAGTCCACGAGATCGTTGCCGACACAGTTGCGAGACACATCGAAGCTTCGACGGGTGCAGAAAAGGGCGGCGATGCACCTGAGACAACGCAGTTTCTTACCACATACCAGATCAAGTGCGATGTGCACTCCAGGAGATACGTGGTTGGCTTCGGTGCCCAGTGCCTGAACTGGTCCGCCCGCCTGGCTGGGCTGGGGAATGTCGACGACTGGGACGTCAAGAAGTGCGCTTTCACGCTGGCCCCGCAGATTGCAGCGCGAGTCGAATCTGCGTTGGGCCAGCACCAGGCAGCCAAGTTGGAATCAGTTCGTAGATGCACCACGGACGCGGCGTCAGTATGCGAGGAGCTCGGCTTGAATGCAGACGACACTAAAGACACGTGCATGTCCGTCTTCTGCGGCGGCAATCTGCCCGACGATCTCGCCGAGAATGGCTTCCTCGTGGCGTTGCGACGTGAGGGCATTTATCTTCGGTGGCTTGCCGTCTCATTGAACCGCGAGTTGCACAAAACCTTCGTCGACGATGTTTCTCGGGGGAGCCCTGCTGCGACCGCGTGGTTCTACACGTGGACTTTCGTCGAAGATTACGTTTTATCTGCATGGGTCGATTTTATAAAAAACAGGGGCCGTGCAGCACTTAAGCTTGCATTTCGACGGCGTCATGGTCGACCCTGGGCGAGTGGGGGATCGGCAGCGTTCAAAGCCGACTCGGAGAGGGCGATTCTGGAGGCCACCGAGTATTCCGTAGAGGTTGCGTTGAAGACCCATGCGCGTTTTTTGGACTTGCTCGTCGGCGACGCGGAGACCGTGGTGCAGAACGATGCCGCTATTC